ATTGTTACAAATAAGCAAAAGGCGCCATGGACAAAAGCAGACTCGGTCAGGGCACAGAAGAGAGAGTGCCGGAGAGCCGAGCGGAAGTGGCGAAAGTCAAATCTCCAAGTTGACCATGAGATCTTCAAAGATGTATTGTGCAAGTTCAACAGTGTGCTACGTAGAACGATGGAAACTTATTTTTCCGAAACAATCGAAGGTTGCAGTAAAAATCTACGCGTTCTGTTCTCAACAGTAAATACATTAGGAGTTGCTCCGGCTGACGCATGCGCAGATGCATTTTTTCACAATTTTCTTGTGGGCGGGACCACTCGCGGCCATTTTGGATAGCTCCAGTAAAGCACAATTTTTGGCCCATTAGTTAGAACGGTGGAGATAGGCTTTACAGGATGGTCCGTTAATATATACAGTCTATGGCCCAGACGCATGTGTGAAGTGCAGCAAACTACATGGGTCTGGCCAGACTCAGGCTAGGAGTTTTACCACTTAAAGTTTAAAGGAATGTTCAAACCCAGTTATCACTCTTGCTTATATGACCACACTCAGAAACTTGGGCTTCCACCAAAACGTAGAGGTTTTATGTCAATGCTAATGCGCTAGTTAGCAATTACAGGTCATTACATTGACCCTTGATGGATTTCGACTCATTTTAAAGAAATTAAGGTAAGGAAAACATTGAAAACAAAATATTAATATTTAATTTGTGGAGGTTTTGGTTGTAGCTTGTACTTTTTGATTGTTTTTATTCGGAACAAAAGGATTTACAAAAATATTTTTTTCCCCATTTATCATTATTTGTTTGAATGCAATTACACGGCATTTAATGAGAAAATAAGCTTGACAATGACATGCTATGGGGACAGTAATTTGCAGACAAAAGGCTCCAAATTGGTCCATTTTTAGAGCTTACATCTGGATTATAATCTCTCATACAAAAAGCACACGTTTTAAATATTTTGAGCCCAAAATTGTGAGTGGGACACAAACGATGACTGACCTTACTTTTCAATCCAAGTCAATAGGAGCCAGAGTGAGTTTGAGCAAATCTTTTACCATGAGCACTTCCCTATTGGGCTCCATTAAGCTAGGGGGTTAGCATTGTCCATCTATGTACAGTCTATGACAAGAAACCCTTCTAATCTTGGGCAACCATTTACTTCCTTTGTCCTTGTTAGCGAGATCACTATTCCGTTCCAATATACTGTAATTTGGCTAATTCCTCTCTCAGCTTTTGTTACCAACACTAAAAGCTTTCTAATGAGTCAATATAAAGTATTAAGTTGTTTCTTGTCTGTCTTCCAAATCAGGAAACAGATTGTGGTGATTTCCAGCCAGCTGCTTGCGCTCGGTCTCTCCCCGCCGCCTGCACAAGAGGTCATCCCCGAGCCAATCAAATCCTTCTAATCAGGTCCCTCCACCAATCAGCCGCGGGACCTCTGCCATTTCCTGCTTTGGCCGCTAATGAGGGCTGTTAAGAAACTATGGGGCCTTTAAAGGTTGCATGTTCTCCCCGTGTCTGCATACGTATCCTCAAGGTGCTCCGGTTTCCCCTACCACTAAAAATGTGTACAATAGTTGTGGGTGAGTGAGTGTGTGGTTGTGAGTGCAACTGTGGGGCGACGGATGGAAATTAGGGGTTGAAACCATTGTCCATAAATGTCCTGGATCATCCCCACCATTTTGTAAAATTTGCAACAATAATCTGGAGATCTGCTTTAAATCTTAACGGCTTGTTGAGCGGCCAACCGTGGAATCCTTGGGCCAACACACAACCAGCTTTAGACAATAAAACTCATTACATTGTGAGATTTCAAAACACTTTGAAGCAACTTTTGTTAAACTCATCATTCTACCAATGTGCAGAAGCCTGTACTTTTCCATTTGATGTTTTGTTTATCTGAAGGCCAAGCTACAAGCACACTGTGGCAGCTGCTGATTGGAGGTCTTTGTTTCTCCTGAGTATATTACCACTTGCTGTTGTAACATCCCTTGTTCGTGTGTCTACCATCAACAATAAAACATGTCTTCTGTCTGAATTAAAGACACGATCCCAGACTTTGTCATCTTCTTCAGGATCTCAATGCTTCAAAAACTCATAAACTCGGTACTTCACTCGGTACTCGGAATACTTAAAACTCATAAAACATGTTCAGATCTTTCATAAAACTCTTCAACAATCTTCAGTAAAATACCAAACTTCATCAGTCGATGGTGGTTCCAGATATTGCTTTGAAAACAGTCTCTCCCACTTCTCCGTGTTGGTTTCTTCAGGCTTCTACATTTGTTGTGTCGAGCCATGAATTCTTCTGTGACGTGTCTTTCAATCACACGTTTCAGCTTCAGTGTCCAGATTCAGCAATTCTATTCAGTCCAAATTATGTCCAAATTCAAAAATCCAGATTGTTCCAAATCATTTCCAAATTGTGTAATCCAATTGTTCCAAATGGTGTCCATGCAAAAGAGGACGATGGTATTGTCCATGTCTCAGCAGCTCACAGCCTGACTGGAATCAGGGGCTGTGCAGATTGTCCAAGTGTGCTGATCCAGATGCATGGTTTCTCTTGAGGAATTTCAGTTTTGGCTTGAAAAAAAACCCACATTTTTGTGTAAAAAAAAGAAAAAGTCTTCTGTTTTGTAGATGTTACAGACAATGCCCGCATCCTTCCACCACCTGAAGAAGATGACAAAGTCTGGGATCGTGTCTTTAATTCAGACAGAAGACATGTTTTATTGTCGATGGTAGACACACGAACAAGGGATGTTACGACAGCAAGTGGTAATATACTAAGGAGAAACAAAGACCTCCAATCAGCAGCTGCCACAGTGTGCTTGTAGCTTGGCCTTCAGATAAACAAAACATCAAGTGGAAAAGTACAGGCTTCTGCACATTGGTAGAATGATGAGTTTAACTTTAACAAAAGTTGCTTCAAAGTGTTATGAAATCTCTCAACATTTACATTTAACTTTATTTTTTTTTACCTTTTGAATGCGCTGGAAATGGCAGCATGTCCTAAGTAGCTCTGAAAAGTTGTTGTTTTGAGCTTTAAAGTTGTTATTTTTCTTGCTTTTTTGTACCTGAGATGTTGCTGCAGTACAGTTTTCATGGTTTTACACTGGTCCAGACCAAAAGGGAGAGGATTCATGGTATAGCCTCAGTGTTGAACTAAAATGATCTAAAAATATAATCAAATTTTAAAAAGAAATATAAGGAAAAAAATGTCATGGAATATTTGAAAGAGTAATGTTAATTGTGTTTCTTTCATGTGTGCAGATGTGGTTGTGTTGTTTACATATAACAGGGTTCGTACAGTCATGGAAAACCTGGAAAAGTCATGGAATTTTAAAATCTAATTTCCAGGCCCTGGAAAAGTTTTGGAATTTTGTAGGTCCTGGAAAAGTTTGGAAATTTTACAAAATGTATGTTTAAAAAATTTAAGGCTATATAAATCTTCAGTAAAATACCAAACTTCATCAGTCGATGGTGGTTCCAGATATTGCTTTGAAAACAGTCTCTCCCACTTCTCCGTGTTGGTTTCTTCAGGCTGCATTTGTTGTGTTGAGCCATGAATTCTTCTGTGACGTGTCTTTCAATCACACCGTTTCAGCTTCAGTGTCCAGATTCAGCAATTCAATTCAGTCCAAATTATGTCCAAATTCAGAAATCCAATTGTTCCAAATTATGTCCATGCAAAAGAGGACGATGGTGTTGTCCATGTCTCAGCAGCTCACAGCCTGAGTGGAATCAGGGGCTGTGCAGATTGTCCATGGGCTGATCCAGATGCATTCTCTTGAGGTTTCTCAGTTTTGGCTTAAAAAAAACACTTTTTGTGTAAAAAAAAAGAGTCTTCTGTTCTCTAGATGTTACAGACAAGGCCCGCATCCTCCACCACCTGAAGAAGATGACAAAGTCTGGGATCGCGTCTTTAATTCAGACAGAAGACATGTTTTATTGTCGATGGTAGAGACAGCACGAGCACGAACAACACGAACAACAGAATGCAAGTGTATTATACAGAGCGGAGGCATGGAGACCTCCAATCAGCAGCTGCCACGGTGCCATGTAGCTTGGCCTTCAGATAGACAAAACAAGGGAAAAGTACTGGCTTCTGCACATTGATAGAATGATGAGTTTAACTTTAACAAAAGTTGCTTCAAAGTGTTATGAAATCTCACAGAATAAATAAAAAACAATCATAAAGCACTCCAGCGCGCACATTGTATTCGGGCAGACAGGTTGCTTGCAGCCATTAGCGACACGCCCCCCGCTTGACTCGAGGCCAGCTACGTGTTTTCCGTGCTACAGCGACTCAGCAAAACCATCATGCCAGGAAAATGCAGATTCAACAATGCGTGGCTATTTGTGGAAAAATATCAGAGCTGGCTTCAAAAAGACTCCGACTCAAGTCACGCCAAGTGTAAGCTATGCAGTAAAACGTTTGACATTTCGAATATGGGGGAGTCTGCTCTGGCGAGCCATATGAAAGGGAAAAAACATGAGTTAGCCATGAGGGCAAATGCCGCGGCGATTCCCATCAGCCAGTTCATAGGCGCTAGTGTACAGAAAACCCCCACGCCAAGAGCACCGACAACAACTCAAGGAACGTTGGACTTTTCCTCTAAAAATGAGGTACTGAAAGCCGAGATACTATGGGTATTAAAAGTAATGAAATTCGCATTACTCCTACAAATCGTCAGAGGGCACGAGTCGTCTGTTTGCAGCTATGTTCCCAGACAGCCAAATTGCCACAAGATTCACATGCGGTGAGAAGTGTGCATACATCGCCACATTTGGGCTTGCGCCGTATATCAAAAGACTTTTATTGAAAGAAGTGTCACAACAAACCGCATACGTCGTGCTATTTGACGAGTCTTTGAACCATAGCTTACAGTCGAAGCAATTGGACATTCACGTACGCGTGTGGGAAGGTGGAGAAGTCAAAAGCAAATATATCGGTTCCCAGTTTCTTGGACATTCTACAGCGGCTGATATTGTGGAAAAGATGTGCAACACGTTGTCCGAGATGGGAATTAAAAACCTCATCCAGCTGTCAATGGACGGACCGTACGTGAACTGGAAAGCATATGACATGATTCAAAAAGAGATGCAAAAACAGGTGGACAAGTCGCTGTTAAACATTGGCTCTTGTGGTCTGCACGTACTACACAACGCTTTCAGAGCGGGGTCCAGCGCAGCGGGATGGGACGTTGAGCACTCGCTCTTATGTTTGTATTGGCTATTTGTATTGGCAAGCAAGTGTAGAGAGAGGGTTTTGCATTAACAAAGAGATAATTGTGGAAAATCAAAAGGAACAGTCACTCATTGCTCAGAGGCATCGTGGGACACATTAGGGCTGTTGGTGATGTGACAAATGTACCTCTCACCAAGGAACTCTTCATGTCAGTTTCATGTGCCAACAGCGATACAAAAGCTACTTGGATGATATGAGGAGGGCAAATGAGAAGCAAAGGTCTGTGGAAAAGAGAAAGGCACTTACAGATGAACTAAAAAGGAAGAAAGCCAGAATACATCAGGATGTTTCTGCATTGGAGAAGGCAGCAGACGACTACGCGAACACAGCAGAAAACACTGGCAACATAACCTTCATAACAAAGTCAAACAGTCTGCGCCGCACGGCTAAGGAAAAGATAATCTCTCTACAGGATCTCGATAAGCAAATGGACGACAAGCTTCTTGAGATGAAAACCAAAGAATGAGCTACAAACTATAAATGGCCTAAGACCTTTACAGAATATAGGCCTGCTTACTCACTATATCACACTGATACTTTAAAATGTACTAACTAGGCTTTTTTTATATGTTTATTTTGTATTATTACTTGAACTAAATGCACTGGAGCTGGCTATTTATGTGTCTTGAAGAATTAACTGCAAACCTTGGCCTGCAATACTGGGACACTTTATTGTTACTTGAACTATTTTTATTTTATTACATTTAACCATTAACATGGCAATATAGGCCTACTCAGTCTGTACTGGGACACTTTATTTTTTACTTGAACTCCAGTTAAAGTACTGCAGCTATTTTATATTTCAGAATGAACAGGGGAAGCCTTCTTAGTCTGTAGTGAGAGACACTTTATTTTTACTCGAACTTAAGTTAAAGCACTGAAGCTGTTTTATTACAATATTTACCTGTACTGAGACACTACTTTCACTTCAGTTAGTCTGTAATGCAATGCAGAAATGTAGCAGTACATACATTGCTACCATTTTGAGTGTATTTTATTGTTGGAAGTAATTGCATGGTTACTTTTTGTTCTTGAATGTATTGAAGGTACAACAGTTAATATTTTTGATAAAAAGTTGACTTTGCATGCTGAATTTAGGCTAAATGAAAACAATGTTTGGTTACCCAACCTTTTATTAAGTATTTTTTATTTAATGATAAAATAGTGATCTGACACATAGAGGCCTGAGCTGGCCAGCGTACCTAGAGCTCCCTCTAGAGGCAGCAGCAGGAATGACTTAGTAAAAAGTGATCAACTGAAAGTTGTTTTGCAACTCAATTGCACCCTGGTTAACACACTTTGAGAGGAAAAATGTGGTGGACAGTTCTGTGATTTTCCTATGACTCAAAATAACCCTTAACTCAAAACTGCATGAATGAAAAACTATTCTAACAGTGTTGTACATTAAAATTCTGTTTTTTTGCAGAATATGTTCCCTTTAAAAGTATTTTATTTTATGGAAGACATCTGTAAAATGTCTTCCATAAAATGTTTGTAAGACATCTGTAAAATGTGTTTAGGCACAAAATAAACAAATGAATGCAAGTAACAATTGAAATTGACTGAGTAATTTTTTGCCATGGAAAATTGGTTAAGGGTCATGGAAAAGTCATGGAAAAGTCATGGAAAACCTTAAGAGGAAATCTGTACGAACCCTGATATAAACAGCTTACTCTGACCATGCTATGTTTAAGACCAAAGCATTTTCAATAACCACTCAGGCTGTGCTGAATTTTCTATTAAATACTTGCTGTTGGTCTGTCACTCGGTGTCCTGAAAAGGTTTTAGGAGCCAGTTCTGCAGGGGTAAGAAAAGTCCCCTCGGCGGTAATAACCAGCTATCACCAATCCATGCACCGCATCAATGTTACTGGTTACACGTAGTGCGTAAATGACGTGGTCTGGCTAACCACCTCTCTCTGCTCAGACAGATTGCATGTGTTTGTGTGTGTGTGTGTGTGTGTGTGTGTGTGTGAGCGTGTGTGTGTGTGTGTGCGCGTGTCTGCTCGTGTGCGTGAGCGTGCGTGTGTGTGTGTGTGTGTGTGTGTGTGTGTGTTGTGTGAGAGAGCGTGTCTGTTCGTGTGCGTGTGTAAGGGTTGGGGTGATGTTTATGTAGTGCACATTTGTATGATGTGGCTCTTTGCTTAACACGGTAAAAAAAATTGGCTCTTAGTCTCTGACTGGTTGGCCACCCCTGGGATAAAGTATCTAAATATCTATCAAATAAATCACAAGTTTCATAACTAAGGCGCACATTGTGAAAGAGAAATAAAGAGAGGTAAAGATGGATCTGTCATGTGTCTGGTTCATTAAGAGTTCTTCATTGGGCCTCTCCATTTTAGACAATCGATAAGTTGACATTTTCAATCTATTGATTTTTGCATTTCATATGCATGTACTGCCCCTAGTTTCTATACCTGTGGACGCTTAGTCTTGTACGATCTTAGAAGCTAAGACGGTGGTTAGTTCTGTGATGGGAGACCACTTCAACAACAGCAGGTGCTGCAGTGCAGCAGCTGAGGCTGAGTGATAAACTTTGGTTAGGCAGGTATTCATTCCACATCACCTAGTGTAGGAGTCTGGTATGTGTTTTGAATGGTTGGTGGCGGTTGGAGGGCCGAGGGCACAGATTAGTAGCCTTGTCAGTCCACCTCAGGACAGCTGAGGTATTAGTAGTTTTACACCACACAGAGTAAATGAATATTACCATGTGAAGCGTCTTTGAGGAGCCAGAAAAGCATGACCTAAAGATATTATTATTATTATTATCATTATTATTACTACTAGTGTGGGGTTTGGAGTAAAGAAAGCTTCCCATGAGGCAGACAGACAGATGGCAGGAATAACCAAGAGTGGGAGGGATAAGATGAGCACCACTTTGGTAATTGCCTCCAAATTGGTCATTTGAGCTCGCCTTTTCCACTTTCTCATTATTGATAAGGCTGATTTTGACTTATGCATTGGAGTTTCTGAGCCCACACCATTCCCATTCACGCTTATGGAAAGACTTTTTACATGGATTTGACCAGTGGCGGCTGGTGGAATTTTCTACTGGGGGGGCTATGAATATGATGACTAGATATATACCAGCAGTAAGTAAGTTTACACTGACTGTTGTGACTGAAGCCTCACACGAGAATCAACAAGGTCACATGATCAGGATCGCAGGGCAAGTTCAAATGCACCACAGAATTTGACACAGTCTATTATTTTTGATAGGATGTGCCTATTCTTGTCAACCTCCTCATTGTGCTTTCTGATCCCTACCCTGTAGCTTTCATCCAGCTGGGATGAAATATTTATCTTCCCAAACATAGCTAATTTGAGGGCATTTTGCATGTGGATACCAGTCTGCTCATGCTTCTTTGCCTTTTCTAAAAAGTGCTTCAGATCAGTCATACCTGTCTTGATCCATGCTGGGTCAGATCCTGATGTTTGAAACAAGAGGCATGGAAAGCAAAATAAAGCATTAGCCTCACTACATGCTGCAAGCCAAGATTTGGCGCTGAACCAGGTCCTGGAAAAAGTACGAGTGTACCGTCTCCCCCTGTCGCTGGACTGCTGACTAATGGTAATATTTGCTGATCAGGTCCAAGCTCTTTAACCTCAACCTTCTCCTGGTATGATCTTCTCTCAAACGGTATTGTTTTGAGTGATCTAACTGAATTATTCATTTTTTCGTTCTCCATTTTGCGTCTCTTTACGTTCGTCTCAAACTCCCACAGCTTGACCTGTCAATCACTGTAAACGGACGTCACAGACAGTGACAGTACAGGTCGCGGGCGACCCCGCCCCCTCAGGGCGCACTTCTCCTGCGCCCCCAAATCGTCTTATCTCTTGCATTGAAGAGGAGCTACTGCGCATGTACAACTTTTAACGAGAGTCCATAGACGGCTCAGGGCGCAATCTTTTGCGCCCTGAGGCGGAAATACGTCCTCAGCTCAGTCCGACACAGAACAACGCTGATGAGCTTAATCAATCCAACTCAGCATAAACTATAAAGTATTTCTTCCACATCTGAAATAAAACACACATAAATTTCGAAATATTTTAATGTTATTATTTTTTTTAACGTTTTATTCAAGGTAACATGGCAAGTTGTGAGTGGTGGGGCGGCGCCCTAGCGCCCTCTATTGGCCGGCCGCCACTGGCGCATGTACAACTTTTAACGAGAGTCCATAGACGGCTCAGGGCGCAATCTTTTGCGCCCTGAGCCGGAAATACGTCCTCAGCTCAGTCCGACACAGACAACGCTGATGAGCTTAATCAATCCAACTCAGCATAAACTATAAAGTATTTCTTCCACATCTGAAATAAAACACACATAAATTTCGAAATATTTTAATGTTATTATTTTTTTTAACGTTTTATTCAAGGTAACATGGCAAGTTGTGAGTGGTGGGGCGGCGCCCTAGCGCCCTCTATTGGCCGGCCGCCACTGGATTTGACAAAGATAGGTGATGATGTGGACATATGCAGATGGGGGATCTGACCTGTCATAAGCCAAACTAATCACATCAGTGCAAGTGGACAAGGAAAAAGATCAGCAATCCCTTCAGAATCGGAAGGATCACGTTTCCAAATCATAGATCAAGTAAAGACATAAAAGGCACTAATTTATTTATTTAAAAGGCACCAATTTATTTCAACTCATTAAAGGAGCTTGCTTCATCTACTTTATGAGACTATTCAATCTGAAATCTCTCTGTTAAATGTTTAATCATTTAAACGCGATGAGCAGTACCGGACATACTTTTCTTGTTCGAGGCGAGCACGAGGAGATCTTGTGTATGTTCAAGCACTTCTTTCACCATTGTTCACATTTGTTTTGCATTCTTCTTGCCCCTTGTCACCCACTCTCTGTTAGGGTTAGTGCCCATCAATGAAGGGGGGATCCTGGGAGGGTCTGCTCTTTGCTCCCTGGAGTGGGCCATCTCTGGGGCTTCTGGATTCTGCCACAAGATGCAAAAAGAGATGGATGAGCTGCTGTGCTGACTGCGAGGTTTTGGCTGGTGATGTGTTGTCATGATTGATGAGTTAACACAGTGCCACGCTCTTTGGGGTCATTCTGTTGCACCCTCGCCATAAGTGCAACATACTGTCTGAAGGAACCTACAAGATGAAAAGAAGAGAGTTTGTTAAGTCGTGGGCATCGCCAGATAATGCGAGCAGATGGAGAACAGTGTGCGTGGGAGAGAAGACTTAATTAAAAAGAAATCCCCAGTTTCACAAGTAGTTACTTAAAAAACTGCTCCTTATTTGAGTGATCCTCTAACACCACATAATGTTTAGAACACAACTAAATATAACAACTATTTTTATAACTTTCTTTTTCAGACTCCCAACTATGTGTCTTTCGTCAGTAAAGCTAAGCTATGGGAACGATCTCTAAATAACCGCCGTGTAAGTATTACAGCTTTTCTTTTTTGAAAAATGAAATTACTAATATCAATTTTAAGTAAAATAAAACGTATTTTGTAGGAATAAAAGTTTCTCAATTGAAAACTAAAATTTTCCTAAATTTGGCACCCCCACCACTAAATACATTTGTGAAAAGGTGTGAGGAGGTGAGCATCAGATCCACCAGAGCCACATCCAGGGGAGACTGTTTTGTGAACTTTAGGTCCTCCTCATTTGGTCAGAACTGTTTCTCTGTCAAAGCAGGAGTGGGCTGGAACTCACTACCTCTGTCTGTGCGGGAGAGTAGCTCACTAGGACAGTTTAAACTCAGCCTAAAAAACTGGCTCAAAGACAATCAAGTCTGTAGTCATTAGTCAGATGTACATAATTGTGTGTTGTATATTTTGTATATATTGTTTTGTGTCTGTGTGATTAGAGGTGTTGTATTTTACCTGTGTTTTATTACTTAGGCCATTCATACTTTCTATTTACCAATTCTTTGCACACTGTATACCTGCTGTCCGTTGCCTCTGCCTCAGGGACTACGGATGAAAATTAGCCTGTAGCTATATCCGGTCTGAACAATACATTTATTGTGCAATGTCCCTGTCAAATAAACAAATAAATAAATTGGGTATACAGTACATAGCATAAACAGATGATCAACTCCTTCCCATCCAGCTGATATGCTACCAGAGCAACTTTTACCTCATTTTAAAAGTAACAACCCCCAGCCTAATTAGTGAAGTCTGTAGATTAGAATTTTCAGCCTCCTTAGGTCCAGTTTTGTCTCATAACCATAACTTGTTCAGAAATCCATAAAACACTTTCTTCCTAATGTAACAGCAAATTCAAAGGCTATAAACAAAGCTTTCCCGAACAAAATACGAGATATTTTGTAGTTATCCTCCTCCTAAATGTCCTAAAGGCTAACTACCCTATTAGCATTAGCTCCAACCCCATGTTTCTTTCAGTTAAAATAAATGGAATACTCAAATTGGGCATTTTCAAACAAACGTTGACAAAGTGGTGTAAGTCAGTTAGAGGCTGTAATAAACTACTGTATCACATTTATACATTAATAGTAAGATGTAACTAAATGCTTATATCTTGCGCAACACTTCTCACAGTGAACAGTTTTGGCATTTTTAAGTGCTGAGTTATTTTAGCAAAAACATCTGTTACAGACAATGAATGTATATAAATGCAACTTTTCGAAAATGTCTATATATGGATATATATAAACAGCAGAGAACAAACCGTTACAGTTTCAAAAATCAGTCAGGTTTGAGACAAAATGTTGAAAATGAGTTTAAAACATTTTATCAACAATATTAATTAGTCTCATGTTTTCTTAAATACCCCTTATCATTCCAAAGCACCGGCCCTCGTTTACTTTATGGTTGCTGTGCTTTCTACCTTGTCACTTTTGATGCTCAGGTTCAACCAAGCACTATAAGCACAACAAACCCTCAAAAAGAATAAATCTGGTTGTTTTTTAACCCCCACTCCTGTCCCCCCACCTTCCCCTCCCCTGTGTGATAAAAACACAATACATATTTCAGTCATAAAAAGGTAAAACTGGTCAAATACCATTAAATGTATGTCCATCTTAACTATAGGGAGTGGTTATGGTAAATGAGTCGTCAGTTTTAGGCCCTTTCTTCTCTCTCAGCGCGGACACGTCCCACCTCTGCCCTTTTTCTCTGAAGTGGATGCACAGCTAACAGTGCGGTTGCCATAACTACGGCAGAGTTGTGCGAGTGAGCTTCCTGTCTTGGCCTCTGGTTAAACAAACAAGTAAATCTCAGGACAAAGGAGCCGGCTGGTCTTTACAGCCTCATTTACATGTCGAGTAAGTTCATCAGGGACGGGCCGACGCAGATCTTAATTCAGGCTGTTCCTTCTGATGCCATCACCGAGGGTTTGGGATGATATACAGTAAACGTCCTGGTTCCAATGTGTTTAAGCCCAAACAAAAATGACAAGAGGCAGTCGACCAAGACATGCCCTTTTATATATGTTTACTCAGGAAATGAGCCTTATGTGCAGTGTAATATTTGCCTGTAAAAGTGCCCATTTAAACCATATCAACGAGGGTTGTAATTAATGATCATCTTGATAATTAGTTTGTTGGGTAATTATTATTTCAATTACGCTAGAGATTAAATGTCGAATAAGCAATTTTTCATAAATATTAACAAAACAAATCTCAAGCAATGCCACTTGAACATCTTCATAGAGATAGGCCAGAATTAGTTGTTTAGTAATTCTCGCTCTGTATTGAAACCTCTTCTCAGCCTGTTTAAATCTAAGTGTTGTTGTATCCATCACTAAATTAGTCGACTAACCCTAACTATTTCAATAATCAGCAATACTACAGTAGTTGTGATTAAACAATCAACTTGTTATAGCCCTAATAACCTACTAATGTATGCTTGAAATAGATATATGACAACATACAATCACACAATTTCAATCAAATCTGTTTTTGTTGTACTCAAAGTCTTGTGTCCATATGGAAATGCTTTTTGTCATTGTGTATGTGTTGTTTCAAAATGTCAGAAAATGAGGAAGAGAATTGACGAGCCCCGCGGCTCAGTGTGAGGCTCAAAAGCAGGATCATTGTCTAACTGTTGAGAGAAGAAAGTAGATCTGAATGCTAAGCTGCATCTCAGCCTGGCTTCTGACACGAGCTGATAATCAGATTTACTCCACTGATTCCGCTGGACTTTACAATGTGGCCCAGTGTTGTTGTCCCCCGCTTTGCCTCTTACAGACCCCCTCGCCTATGTTCCCTCATCCCCTCTACAAAGCTAATTACAGCCTGCAGAAACACAAATCTCCATGATTTAAAAAGTCACTCTTTTTCAGTGGTTTAACCTTGTTAGGGCCTAAGACTGGCTTTTTGAGGAGCAGTTCTGTGAAGAATTCTCTGTTCCTCCAACAGTGGGCCACAGACACGCTTGTGTCTGGGTTCAGGCTGTCAGCGGGTCACTGAGGGTCAGTGTCATTAACAGGGTCTATGTGAGGCTGTACATGAGTGTGTGTATCAGCGTGTGTCGAGGTGAGCTCCTCTGTCCTCCACAGGCCATCTGCGACTTTAATACACTTCCTATATTCATCTGCCTGTGCCTCTTGAATATGTCTTTCTGGGAGCCGTTGACCACAAACAGGCCAGTAATGACATTAGGCAGTTCTGGCTGTTTGGGAACAGCGTGTGGGTTGCCTGACGCCAGGAGGTCAGCCAGTTTCCTGGGGGTCTGCAGTCACCCAAAGGAGCCCACACAAGTCAATTAATGTAATCTACTAACTCTGCATTAGCTTTGTGTGTAGTTTAAATACTCGTCTTTAGATTGTAACTCCTTCTTTGCCTGGTAAAAAACACTCAACATATGAGGTGGTTTACAATTCACTCTGTTTACTACAAGCACTCAGGGCTTTATGGTACTGATGACAGTGCCTTGCTGTCACTTTTCAATGGCCCTGAAAATGAGAATGGTGGCTCTACCACTCACTGACTTTGTGTGACATCAACATTTTGGATTTAAATTCTGCCACTAATCTTTCATTTATAGATTAAAAAATCTATTTCTGTGAAGAGCATTACTTACATGAAAGTCAAAATTATTAGACTCTCTTCTCACACATCTTTTGACAGCCTTCTTACATTTTCTCTGTCTAACGTGACTAGCAGGAACTGCTCTATTTTGGAAAAAAGTATTTTCTGGTAGTGTTTTCATGCTGTGACCAGTATAGAGACCAAGAAGAGCCAAACTTCCATTGTCAAAATCCGCCACAAACAGACATGTTTCATGTTTGTCCCTGAAGAAGACCATTGTGGCATCTTGATGAAGGACTTTTAGTTTATCATCAGTGGAGCTCGGATATCTCGTGATTGGTCAAGTATGAGTCTGGTGTGTGAGTGAATGTGGTAGAGAGAGTTGCTGGTTGTACAGATTGGCCTTATGCCAGTCCTCCCCAGGGCAGCTGTGGCTCATGAAATATTCCATGTGAAGTGTCTTTGAGTGTTCGTAAAAGCATCCTGTAAAATGCATAATTATATCAGACATTGCCTTTATTTTTCATATTTTGGTCATGAGTATTAGTTTCCTGCAGATAGATGTCCTATCACAGTTTCTGTTTGTGTTGTATCTGTGCCCGATCGCAGATGGTGACTTTACTCAAACATATCTGATTGCATTGTGCATGTATTGACTGCTTTGTAACAGGTCTTGCATGCCCAGACCTGCAGTAAAGGTCAGGTCTGATGATTCCAGCCCACGGGCCATGGCAGCCTTTTCACTTACTACGAACTTGTAGTTAATGGGCGGTGGGCATACGGGATCAAACACCTGTCACTGTGTCCTTTTATATTGTTTCTAACTGTGTTCCTCTTTGCACCAAAAGAATGTAAATCTTAAAATCCCAAAGATCTTAGTAAAAGGACTTAAAGGAGATGGTCCTGGATTATAAAACTGATCCTCTCTGTGAGTCACAGACACAAACTCCACCTCTCTCTTCTCTTGTTCTGTCCCAAACCGCTGCTGCACTTTGTTTCCATCGTATTGAGATGTCGCTTAAGTCCAACTCAAACAGGAGCCGGGTGTTATTGTTTGCTCCCGAAAGGCCACTGACTAAATGAGTCACTGGCACAAAGTGTTTGCTGCTTTTATTTCAGCAGATCCATGTCCTCAAAAGTTTCTCACCCAATCTACAACTTTCATAAAAAAGCAACACATTAACACTAGGACTCCTTGAATTCTGAAACTATGACGGTTTGACCATTTTGACGGTTCCATTGAAATGAACTACATAATGTATAGAAACAGAAAAAGTCACAAAGTTATGAAGACCAAAAACCTACTTAAGTGGTGTAATTATACTACCCATACAAAAATCCGTCAAATTGACCGCTCTGGGAGTTCTAGTGTTAATAATAGCAAATGGAAAAAGAAAACAATATTTTTTCATTTTGGGTATGAAATGTTTTCCAGTTAAGTTAGAGGGTTGCAGTCTGGGGTTTCATCACAAGGGGGCAGCAGCGACTTCATGCATTATTTAAATGAACCCTTCTCATAGTGATTCCAAAATCTTTTCAGTTCAGGACCCCAGTGAATGGATGAAATAAACTTGAAGAGTTTAGCGTTTACTTGCCCTGTTTATTGTTTTAATGGACCTAAGTATTTTTTTTTAACTGACATACATTACTTAAAGTTGGGTAACTCCCCCCTAATACAGTTTGGTCGTTCCCACTCAAAAGGGGTTTTGCAAAAGTAAAAGGCCTCAAACCTGCTTTATCGGACACATTGCGCCACAATGCTGGGGATTCTAATCCTCTTTGGATGTATACATACATATAAGTATTTTCTTTACTGGTATTTCTACTTAACTTGACTTTTTAATTTGTCTGACAACTTTTGAGTGAACAAACACTCAAATTAATACATATATTGTCCAAATGGCTTTTTACTATTACACCTTATACATCTTTATATTTATTAAGTAAGGGAACATCAATACTTTATTAGAGTTTTAAAATCAGAAATCAATTGAGTGTGAATCAAAAGAATAAATCCACATTTATATTTTTGGCCGAGGGTAAGAGTCTATTTTGCCTTGTACCAGTGCCCCATAGATCTAAGCCCTGACTCACACTGAATTCATAAACAGTCCAGTTCAGACACACAGAGATTCCGTGCATTAATAGATAGATAACACCTATTGACTTTTTAATGTACTGCAGCTACTATATGTATTGACCTACTTGGCTCGATCTGCTCAAAACCTAAATTAAAAATAAAACATTTTCTAAAACTAACCATCATATGAAAGTAGCTGTATGGGAAATGAAACAATTGTTTATTTCTCTGTTGAACTTGTGAAGATGCAAACCTGGTTTTATCTTAACTAAATCAAATCATGGAAAAAAAAATTTCCGTACAAACATGAATGATTTAACAACATGAATAAACTGCAGGAAACCAGACATTGCATGTGCAAAAAGACATGATGTATTTTTTCTTGGTAGTAATTCAGGAAAAGATCTAATTGGAATTGAGGAGAGAAAAAGAAAGAGAATATTTCTGGAGAGTTTCTTGCATTATATCTCTTATATTAAAGACCAAATATGATTTTATTTCAAAGTTAATAATGGAACAACAGAAGAAAAACCTCTCTCAGTGTTGTGGCTCTGAGATAATAGAATTCTTATAAAACAAAATTATTAAACAAATGTCCTTTACACATGCAGACATCTTAAAAATACTTAAAAGAAGCAATGAGGATGTATAAAAGCAGAAATCTAAAATGTTACTAAGCACAATATGTTCCTTTGTTTTGTTGTTCCCTTTAGAACCACCACGTCCCACAACATGGTTCTTTACTATGTTCCCGATTCCAGTCTCACATGAAAACTTGTCCGGGAGATTTCAAACCTTTGCTTTTTTTGAACTCCAAGTCCAGGCCGCTTTGCCAAGAAAACCAATCTCCACAATCTCCTTCTTCCCCAAAGAACCAGCAAATTGAAGGTAAGGATTAAAAAAGACACCTGCTGCTTTCACGACTACACCTTAAACCTTCAGTCAGGATGTGGGACGTGACTTCTTTGAGTCTACTTCTCTCCTCATTAAAAGTGAGTCCTCCCACTGAACCCCTACTGAAGTGGTGCAGGTAATGGCCACCAAGCTTGTCGTTAGCGGTTAATCCATCCCTAAGAATGAGGATGATTAAGTAGCCCTCTTGGACATCCTCTTTTTGGTGAGGAAGTGCCCACAGCGCCGCCCTCCTGGTGGTTTTTCTGGTGTGAGTGAAAAGCCGGGGGCCGGGAGACCTGCCGCTCTATTCAGAACCACATCACTAATGTAAAGACATTTCTCCCTGCTCACACCTTTGCTTCACAGCAGGCCACGGCTTTCAATACTCAGGCCTCTGAACAAGTGTGTTCTGGGTCAAGGGGGTGGGCATTTTCAATACTAATTATTCTGCCATATGGCGGTCATTCTGCTCAAAGTCATGCTTCTCCCTTTTCCCCAATGAAACACCCTTTGGCCAATGCCATCGCTTGACTCATTCACAGAGACGCAATTATACACAAATACAACACAATATTATGATTTTTACTTAATTGCCTCAACTGTATAGGTAGAGTTAAAAGTACAGTGTACATATGTATGGAGTGGGTCTTTAATTATATCCATCCATCCATCCATCCATTTTCTTCCGCTTTATCCGTTGCCGGGTCGCGGGGGCAGCAGTCTAAGCAGAGACGCCCAGACTTCCCTATCCACACACACCTCCTCCAGCTCGTCCGGGGGGACCCCAAGGCGTTCCCAGGCCAGCTGAGAGACATAGTCTCTCCAGCGTGTCCTGGGTCTTCCCCGGGGCCTCCTCCCGGTGGGACGTGTCCGGAACACCTCCCCAGGAAGGCGTCCAGGAGGCATCCTGAACAGATGCCCGAGCCACCTCAACTGTTAATGGTTTTATTCTTTTGTGTGATTTTATTGTTTTTATTGTGTTTTAATCTTTTGTGTGATTTTAATGTTTTAATTGTGATTCTGGTGTTTGTTTTATGTGATGATTTGTGATGTGGACTGTGAAGCGCTTTGTGTTGCCCTGTGCATGAAAGGCGCTCTACAAATAAACTTTGATTGATTGATTGAACTGGTTCCTCTCGACGTGGAGAAGCAGCGGCTCTACTCCGAGCTCCTCCCGTGTGACTGAGCTCCTCACCCTATCTCTAAGGGAGCGCCCAGCCACTCTGCGGAGAAAGCTCATTTCGACCGCTTGTATCCGCGATCTCGTTCTTTCGGTCATTACCCAAAGCTCATGACCATAGGTGAGGGTGGGAACGAAGATTGACCGGTAAATCGAGAGCTTCGCCTTTCGGCTCAGCTCCCTCTTTACCACAACGGTCCGATACAGAGACCGCATCACTGCGCACGCTGCACCGATCCGCCTGTCAATCTCACGCTCCATTCTTCCCTCACTCGTGAACAAGACCCCGAGATACTTGAACTCCTCCACTTGAGGAAGGACCTCTCCACCCACCTGGAGAGGGCAAGGCACCTTTTTCCGGTCGAGCACCACGGCCTCGGATTTGGAGGTGCTGATTCTCATCCCAGCCGCTTCGCACTCGGCTGCAAACCGTCCCAGTGCATGCTGCAGGTCCTGGTTCGTTGGAGCCAACAGGACGACATCATCCGCAAAAAGTAGAGATGAAATCCTGTGGTTCCCGAACCAGACCCCCTCCGGCCCCTGGCTGCGCCTAGAAATTCTGTCCATAAATACAGTGAACAGAACCGGTGACAAAGGGCAGCCTTGGCGGAGGCCAACATGCACCGGGAACAGGTCTGACTTACTGCCGGCAATGCGAACACAGCTCTGGCTCCGGTCATACAGGGACCAGACGGCCCTCAGCAGAGGACCCCGGACCCCGTACTCCCGGAGGACCCCCCAAAGGACACCCCGGGGAACACGGTCGAACGCCTTCTCCAAATCCACAAAGCACATGTGGACAGGTTGGGCGAACTCCCATGAACCCTCGAGTATCCGATGGAGAGTATAGAGCTGGTCCAGTGTTCCGCGACCGGGACGAAAACCACACTGCTCCTCCTGAATCCGAGATTCGACCATCGGACGTAGCCTCCTCTCCAGTACCTTGGAGTAGACCTTACCGGGGAGGCTGAGGAGTGTGATCCCACGATAATTGGAACACACCCTCCGGTCCCCCTTCTTGTAGAGAGGGACCACCACCCCGGTCTGCCACTCCATTGGCACCGCCCCCGATCGCCACGCGATGTTGCAGAGACGTGTCAGCCAAGACAGTCCTACAACATCCAGAGACTTTAGATAGTCAGGACGGATCTCATCCACTCCCGGCGCCTTGCCACCAAGGAGGCTGCCAACCACCTTGGTGACCTCGGCCAGGGAGATGGAAGTGTCCGCCCCAACATCCTCAGCCTCTGCCTCCTGAACGGAGGACGTGACGGGGGGATTGAGGAGAACCTCGAAGTATTCCTTCCACCGCCCGACAATATCCTCAGTCGAGGTCAGCAGCCCTCCACCCGCACCATACACGGTGTTGGCAAAGAACTGCTTCCCCCTCCTGAGGCGCCGGACGGTTTGCCAGAACCTCTTCGAGGCCGACCGATAGTCATGCTCCATGGACTCTCCGAACTCCTCCCAGTCCCGGGTTTTTGCCTCTGCAACAGCCCGGGCCGCGGCACGTTTGGCCTGCCGGTACTGGACAGCTGCCTCAGGAGTCCCACGAACCATCATTGCTCGATAGGACTCCTTCTTCAGCCTGACGGCATCCCTTACTGCCGGTGTCCACCACCGGGTTCGGGGATTGCCGCCGGGACCAGCACCAGAGACCTTGCGACCACAGCTACGAGCCGCCGCATTGGCGATAGAGGAAGAGAACATGGTCCACTCGGACTCGATGTCCCCCTCCTCCGCCAGGACCTGGGAGAAACTCTCCCGGAGGTGTGAGTTGAAAGTCCGTCTGACAGGGGGCTCAGCGAGACGTTCCCAGCAAACCCTCACTATACGCTTGGGTCTGCCAGGTCTGACCGGCTTCTTCCCCTGCCAGCGGATCCAACTCACGACCAGGTGATGATCGGTTGACAGCTCCGCCCCTCTCTTTACCCGAGTGTCCGAGACACGCGGTCGAAGGTCAGATGATACGACAACAAAGTCGATCATCGACCTCCGGCCTAGGGTGTCCTGGTGCCACGTGCACTGGTGGACACCCTTGTGCTCGAACATGGTGTTCGTGATGGACAGGCCGTGACTGGCACAGAAGTCCAACAACTGAACACCGCTCGGGTTCAGATCAGGGGGGCCGTTCTTCCCGATCACCCCTCTCCAAGTGTCACTGGCATTTCCCACATGGGCGTTGAAGTCCCCCAGGAGAATAACGGAGTCGCCGGGCGGTGCACTGTCCAGTACCCCTCCCAAGGACTCCAAGAAGGCCGGGTACTCTGCACTACCGTTAGGCCCGTAGGCCGTCACAACAGTGAGAGACTTGTCCCCCACCCGGAGGCGGAGGGACGCGACCCTCTCATTCACCGGGGAGAACTCCAACACGTGGCGGCTGAGATGGGGGGCAATGAGTATGGCCACCCCAGCTCGCCGCCTCTCCCCGCGGGAAACACCAGAAAAGTGGAGCGTCCAACCCCTCTCAAGGAGTTGGGTTCCAGAGCCCAAGCTGTGTGTGGAGGTGAGGCCGACTATCTCTAGTCGGTATCGCTCAACCTCCCCCACAAGCTCGGGCTCCTTCCCCCCCAGTGAGGTGACGTTCCACGTCCCAAGAGCCAGATGTTGGGTGTGTGGACTGGGTCGTCGAGGTCTCCGCCTTCGACCGCTGCCCAGTCCTCGCTGCACCACGCCACCACGGACCCCTCTGCAGGTGGTGGGCCCACAGGAGGGACTGCCCACGTCATCCCTTCGGGATGTAATAATATCCATTATTACTATTATCATTATTCACTGGATTACTCACTGTATACCAGCAAAAAGCACAATATAGGTATTGTGAATTTGTCTCTTTGGTCTATTACACCAGAGGAACTCTGGATTCTGTGACTCCGACAGATGGATGCACTGACTCTCCCCAGAGCCACAAGAAACAAGAGTAGATTGTCCGACACCCTCTTGCCCCTTTTATCCCGCGCAAAGTCATCAGAAAAATGGAGAAAGGAGAAAATGTCTTTTAGAAAGAAGAACAAACTTCTCATAGTAGGGTCTATTTTTATGTTCTTAGCAACTGGTTTTCTGAAACTATATAAAAAGATAAACTGTGAAAAAAGTGTTTTTGGTGTTTTTGATGAAAAAACTATCTCTAAGATGAGTGTCTATCTCTAAGAAGAATGTTTCATGTCAATATCCTCATGTCACCATATACTGTAGAAAGGTAGAATACCAGGCATAGAATGAAATATAATAAATAAGATAAGATATACCTTTATTCGTCTCGCAGTGGAGAAATGTCAGTGTCATCGTTGCGCACATTACAGCAGAGAAAGAAGGAAATAAGAGCACTCAGATTGCACACATCAAATAAGTCTATTATTTAAGAAAATAGACTATAAAATTATGATAAAGAATAAAATAATACAACAAAATAAACTCTGGGGCTATAATTACACTTGGTTCAGAAGTATTTACAGATGTGTATATTGTACTTAAATGTTTTTGTCTTTGGCAATGTGCTTCACACATGCATTGCCATTTCCAGTTTGATGATATAAATTCCTCTATGGACAAGCATTTTGTCTTTGGCGTTACAGCATTTTCCTGCTGTAACACCAAAGGCAGTGCATCTGCTCTGTCCAACTGGTATAAATTTAATAGATACAAAACATATTCAATATGGTAAGCTCGGTGTATTCTTTTACAGTCAGTTTTTGTTTGGATTTTATTATAAAATGATGTAATAATGGTGTAGAAAATACATTCCGGGGGAAACAAGTACAATGTATTCTGTGATTTTGTTTATTTCAGGATATATTGACCAGAAGAAGAACAAGAAGTTTGGTGACTTCCATCAAGACTCAATCCCAAAACAATCTGTTGCTTCTGAGTCAACTTTCTGTTCAACTCCAGCTCTGCCTAGCATCAAACCAAAACCTCTGAGTAGTACTGACCTCCATCATAAACGACTCGAGGAAGATGCCCCCCTGAGCTTCTCTGCTTTACCAGAAGACATTGGGAAGACTTATAATGTGTCAAACACAAATGACACAAGCTCACTCTTAAATGTGTCTCCCAGTCCCTCTGACCCAGAGCCCCCTCAGAGTCCTGACCCATTCTCTCTTGGCTCAAGAGCATCGAGATGTTCTTCTTCCACGCTGTTCAGCCACAGTCCAGATCTGTCAACTTTTAGAAGCAGCGTCATGTCTGTAAGAAACTCAGGTAATCTGCCATCTCATGAACATATCTGAAACATGCAAGATTATGTGTACAGTGTTTGTATATATTATGCCATTATGTTTCATCATGTTTCATCGGGTGTTCAATAACAATAGTACGATTGTGTGTTCCAGAATAAACATGACATGTATTCATTGATTGTATGTTTTGCTTGTCGTACTGCCCTCTAATTTCCCTTTCTCACTTTAAACAGCAGAATCCCAGTGCAAAGGTCCAGAGGGAGTAATTAGTTCCTCTCCAGTTCCTTCTTTGCGTGTGCTGCCGACACCTGTGTCCCCCCACCATCCTCCATTACCTCTGTTGTCACCATCCAGCCTGATCACCAACTCTCTATCCTCCTTAAAGCGGAATGGTCAAACAAAAGCTCGCTCACTTCCTCAGATTTCACCTGTGACTGAGCCCAAATTGGATGAATCCGATGTAGAATTGAAGTGGTCCTGTATGGAACGACAAATTGATCTTGCTCCAAAGACTGCCCCTGGCCTAAATGTTGCCATGTCGGTCAGTGCAAGGTCTCGTCCTCCAAGTCCACTGAGGCCTTTAGCAGACACACCTCTAGAGCTGACTCCATCTCCTCCTGCAAGTTTTCTAGGGTCTTCGTGGCCTGTGCTGCCCCCCATCAGAATGCAACAAGGTAAGAATGCTTATCTGAGCTGTCCAATGCTTCAACCAATTTCATTTTGGATTGGAGTGACTAAACAACACTTTTTATGATGTTTTTATTTCACGTATTCTGTCTGATAATGGCTTATGTTGGCATAAGTGCAGTCCCTATATACCATAAGATAATCTTCTCCACCTCCTGGGCATTCTGTTACCCCTCAGGCTATTCTGGAATCCCTTTTTTGTGGCACCAAAATCCCCTGCGAGTCACAGTTTTGGCTTTGGTGCCCTCATCCTGCTGAACTCAATCTCAGATTGTTGCTGCTCTTCTTTAGTCACCTTATTATTCGAGATTCAAGATTAATCTATTATGTCCCGTTGGAAAGTTGTCATGGACTCACAGGCTGCTACATTGAAAATACACATAAGACACAACAAAGTAACACAGACATAAACCATCACCGCTCTGCTCGATGACCTGCATTCAATTATTGTTTTTTGTTATGAATATGTTTGCTATGTGTTTCTGCAAACAGATTCAAGCCTCAATCTAATCATACACTACCCATAAAAAAGGTTCCTTTGACAACAAAAAGCGTCTACTATTTGATTCCCTTTTCAAAGACCTAGGGTCCCAACAATAGGCCTTGGGATCCCTGTGTCGTGTGTTGTCTCTCAGTGGCGCTTGCCCCATGCCTGTTCTTTTTGTGGGCTTAGAGGCAGACGTGCAGCCCATGATCCTAAATCTACTCTGAACACCACACACTGATGGCAAAACATTGAGCTTTGAAAATACAATAGAATACCTCAGCAGCTTTCCTGCGGCTGCTAATTTACCATTCTGAATGTGGATAAAGGATGGGGCCAGTGACATCTGACTCCTCCAGAAAGAAAGCAAAACCAAATTGTAAAGAGGTTTTTATTCTATGTATCACAGACATTTACTGTTTACTGTGAGTCACTTCTATGAGGGTCATATAACACAGTTTGATCTCCTGACCGAATATCTCCACACATGTCTTATTCTTGGATTGTGTGCAGTAGAATTGAAATGTTGTAGGCTGTAACCTCTGAGAATGGTGGTCCTTCTATTGTGATGCGGGGCGCTGTCCTGGCCGACTGTGGCCTTTGGCTTCAGGCGATATAACCAGGGAAATGGAAAGACAGAGGAAGTTTTGTGCTTCTTGAGGACTGACATATCAAATACAGCGACCTCCCACAGTCACCCCTAACCTCCCTGAAACACGGAGTGAGTGCAGCCCTGCTCGGCTCAGAGTGACAGCAGCCATATGCTTTGAAGTGTCGAGTCAAGTCTTTCTATTGTGCTTTTGAGTATAGCAGAGGGGCGCTCAAGTGCACATAAACACATTGATATGGATGTACATACTTGACAGAATGTAATGTGGATTCATGCATTTATTCTTGTATGTGGCCAGAGACAAAGAAACTGTTCTTGGCTCTTTAATTCTGTAGTTTAGATGCACTGGAGAAAGTAAACGAGTATAGGAACTTTAGCCACTCATGGATGCTGATGTGTAGAATCCTGAATACATTCTTATAATGAATTACTCAGAGAAATGAGAAATAATCCATCATGACAGAAACTGAACATGTAATGCTGCATTAAACATGTTTTGAGATTTTCAGTATAATTAGGATTTCAGAAATGTATCGTAATACTTCTTGAACTCCTGTGTCTGCTGTAGATGGTTCCATGACAGCTCGTTCCTCGGAGCAGAGCTGTGGTGAGTCCCAGGTCTTTGATGAACTGGATGCTCTGGCGCCTCTGTCAGCCTCCTTCTCATCCATGGACCAGCCCTCTGAGTCTTCACACTGCCATTTCAGAAAAGCAGGTATTCTTATTCTATTGTTTAATTATGCAATTTTACATGAAATTTTTAATCCAAACACCTTTTATTTTTTTCATTTGAAAAATAATAATAATTATTCTAATGTGCAATATCTGAATTGTATTTGCACCCGTATGCTTCCCCTGACTTGGCCTGCTATAGACGTTTGGCTTAGCAGAGCACTCACGACATGCTCATTGTTTCTGCTGATGTTGGCCACAAAGGCTGAATAAATGTGTTGTGTGCCTGTCTGGGCCAGATAGTGTGTGTCCCGAGGTTTTTGAGGGATCCCCAGAGAGTCACCTCCCTCGTGGCCATCTAATCCCTGACAAGGTGTTTAACCTCTGTCCGTTTCTGACCCGCTAACCTTTGCCCAGAGGTGGAAGTCACAATACTGCTATAGCAACCAAGACTTAGTCAAACATCGGATTGACCCTAAATTCATTTCACACCATGGCAAAAAGTATTGGCAAAGACTCAATTTTGTCAGACAAATCCAGAAGGCTTAATTAACGTATTAAGATGTCTCGCTGTCTGATCTATTCAGTGGTTTATGGGTTTCACTATATACTAAGTATTTCAGTACTGTGGCTATTTTTAGACAAAAGCAGAGTAATACATATCCAACTAAAGATGTCCAAGATTCTTTTAACTAATTCAAAACTCAGTTACCAGCTAAGACACCCGTCAAACTTTCAAATATGATATAACTGATATATCAACATACCCCACAAGATAAATTATAACAACCAAAGAGATTGTGTGCATCAGTAAGACACCATTTCTTTCTGGGAGTACATGCTATATGAAGTATCAAGACCAGATTAAATCCCCTCACCAGTTCTACCCCCAGCAGCGTGGGCTTCTGGATTTGCATGAGCACAAGCAACCCCGTCACTGATCCATTTTTAATTGAGTGTGACCAGGAGAACTTTGAAATCTTTGGGGCTTTACTGCAGTAGAGAGCTATCATGAAAGCGTCTAAAGACTGACTGTAAATGTAGCAAAGGTTTAATAGAAATTTGATAAATATATTTTCTTGTTTCTGGTTGTTTAGAAGCTCTATCCTCTGGCCTGGCGCTGCTCACTGTGGGCTGTGACTCCGGGCCTCTGAGCTCGCTGTCTCGTGTCCAGTTACTGCTACTGAACCGGCAAGAGACTGATGCAGCAAGTCCTTTCTGTTTGGATGAAGACTCGATGTCTTTGAACAACTACCCTGACCTGGAGATGAGCAATGGTATTCAACCCTTTTACACTACTGCAGGGATGTCAAAGTAAAATACATCAGAGGGCCAAAACAACTAATTTTCTACAAGCCGAGGGCCGGACTGGTTCATTGTTGATTAAAACATATTAAGATGATTGCATATACTTTAACCAAGACCTAACACAGTGTAGCAGAAGAGAAAACACATGTCACTAACATTAAACAAATAATCTAATATTGTCTTAAGGCTCTGTGCGGCCGGTTCTATTAGTAATCAAATATCATCCCGAGGGCCAAGATCATTTCTTCGTGGGCCGAATCTGGCTCCCGGGCCTTGACTTTGACACCTATGCACAATGTGATCAGAGGACAAATATGTACACCTCGACAACAAACAAGTGAACAATACCCTCGCAAATGGAATAGGTTGTGTTCATGGACCATTACAAAAGTCAAAAGAACCTACATTTTAAAAATCTGGCATTTGTAAGATATTTCCTTTGTAACTATTGTAATTGTCTAATTGTCTAACTTTAGAGCCGATTGGACTGTAATTCCTGGGCCAATCCATGTGAAACAAAAACTGCCACAAAGTACCACATCTTCTTTGTCAGTATGTCAGCTATGGTCTTATCTTCTCATAAATGTTTTTAGAAGTGGTGACAATATTCAAAAAGCATATGCATGATGTTGGCCAGTAGAAGCTTAGCAGGTCTGTGTATCTACAGTCAAATAATGAGCTTTGAAAATATTTGGACAATTTCATATTTCCCTAAAGACTTGCATTGGCACCTGCCCTCCCACTGAAATAGAATTCGAGAACTTGGACTCTACCTATAATTGTGGAGGGGTGTAGTGTATACTTAGTACTAGTTGCAAATGTATCAGCATGCAAAACTCTTATGTTACAATATGCTGCCATGTTGTGAGTCATAGCATCATATTTTTAATCACTGTTGCCTGGAAATCACAGAGGGAATCTCCGGCTCCATCAAATCCTTCTGACAGTTTGAAACAGATCGTTTGATAAGGAACAACTGTCACATAGACAGGTGTGCACACGTCTCCTGCAACACGCGTAACACTTGACCAACATTGGGTGCTCTGCAGCTCCCTCGTTTAAACCCTATTCTTCAACTTGTACGTTATTCAATGTTACTCCACAAAAGGTGTGGCAGCTCAGACTTCAACTGGATACAGATATCATTCTGCCTTTTTTTTTTTAGCAAAGATCAAACGGTTCAGTGTATCATTAACCAGGGAAAGTCCAACACTGATAACTTGAGTTTTAGAAGTAGGCGCTAGATGCAAAGCAGGACTAGGTAAGTGTCTTCTCGATGTCCACATGCGTAGACTTGGTGATGGGAAACACTGTTGAACTTGTGGTTAGTTTATGTGTGCTCTGTGTGTCACATGCAGACGAGTGGAGGACCCCTTATTAGCCCTTAAACCTGTGTTTAGATGGTTTAAAGCTGCAATCAGTAATTTTTTCCAGGCGCATTTCTCAAAAAATATTGTGGGAAAACGTCCTTAAGCCCTAATAGTAGTCAAGTTTTAGTAATGGTATTGACCAGATGCCTGTAGTCGATAAAAATAAACCAATGTGATTTGTTCATCTCCAACGAACCAATGTGATGAGTTTACCCCCCTTCACCCTCTTCCTGTTTCTTGCCAGTGGCCGCACCTGAGTTATCGGATTTTCTAAAACCTAAAAATGTGAAATGCCAATTTCACATTTGCCACCCACTCTCCCTGTTGTGACAAAGAAAATGCTGGATTTTTGGTTTGGTGGAAAGCAAAGGGGGGGGAGTGATTTCGAGACGGTGCTGCAGCTAAGCTAACAACATCGCTTACTGCACCTTTAAGGGCTAAGAAAGAAAATGAGAAATTGCTGTTTTACTATAAGGCGTTCATGAATTAGATGAATTTTTTATGCTGAACCTACAACACATACTTCAGTTAAACTATATTGGATATCTATATTTTAAGGATTGGATAAGTGTGATTGTGATAATTTACAGTGTGTGTACATTTCAGGTTTCCTTGTATATTTACAAAAACACATACACACACACACACACACACACACACACACACACACACACACACACACACACACACACGCATACATATGCAGACATAGACACATGTATACACACACATACTGTACATACATACTTATACACATACACGCATAAACATACACACACACAAATACACTTTTTCACACTTAAGCATAAATCTCGTTTCCTTGTCTGCAGAACAATGTTTGCACCTGGCACGCTTCTGTAGACAGGTGCTCCCCTGGGGTTTATTGGTTCATTTCTAACACTATTTGCTTTGAGATTAGGAGGCATAATTGGAGTTAATACACAACATTAGTCATATCTGAACGCACACAGCCAAACACAAAGAGCACATGAAAATGCACGGAATGGGCTGACATATATGTAAACAACCAGAACCTCGTCGACTGCATAGACTTTTGTATGTGCACAATTGCTTCCTCTGTCTTTTTCTTTAAGCTATGTTCTGTGTGGCGGTCAGGTGTTTGGAGGCCCTTCACAGCTGGCAGCATCTCTGAAAGCATCTCTGAAAAGTGTGTCTCAATGGGGAAAACCCATCAAAACAAACTGGTAGGTGCTTCTAACTCTTGTGAAGTTGTTTTGCCGCCCCCTTCTCTGTTGTGAGCAAACATTAGACCTCTATTTGTTCAAATACTATTGGACAATAACTCCTGGACTGGGACAGGCTGCCTCTCACTTGTACAAAAGACCCCTTTTACAAACTTGAGCCAACGTGCATTTATAACTGTTGTTCCAGTTTGTCTGAGCAAATTGTTGTAGATAATTGAGGCACAATATAACAGGACACGCGGCGTGCAGCAGGTGTGTGGTTAATCAGTTATAGACTCCAGAAGTAAGGGGGGTTGGACTGTACGGTAGCACGCAGCTTATTGGCGTGTGACAACGGGGGTAAATGCACAGTGGGAATCTATTGGGGTGATACACCAAGACCGCAATCAGAGCGGGGCGGGTGAGAGGTCAGGGGGTAAATAGGGCTTCTGCATGCTGAGCTGCAGTGGAATGGATGCAGGTGCTCTAAGTGATCTAAATGATTAATCTCCCTTGTATGACATATCAAAGAGATCGTGAGAAAGAATGGGTGTGCGTGTGCCAATGTGTCTGTGTCTGTGTGCGTGTGCCAGTGTGTGTGTGCGGGTGTGTATATTGTGTGACTTTCACTTTGCTTACTCTGAAAATGAGAGAACATGTATGGGCCTCATAAGTCCCCTGCATATATGCCTCATCACAATGAAGCGCCATAGAGCAGAACTATCCTGTCATAGTCCAACACACCAACTACTTTGACTTTTTGCGAAGCGTGAATAAATAGTACTTTTGCATTGCTATACAAACAACACGGGTTGAAAGAAATACAAAAAAGTAACTACTTATATTGCAGAAATTATGGTATGTATAATAATAATGAACTGTTGCATGGATTTATCTAGAAAACCATTACTTTTATGTTTTAGGATGATGATATGGAGTGTTTTTCTGGATCATCCTGTTCATGGATCATTGACCCAAGCTCCACGTATAGAAGCATGTCAAAATCCTCGACCACACAACGCCGCTCCAGTCTAGGTAACTCACTCTTTATTATTGTATGTTGTGTGTTTTTGTCTGTAACAGTTGTTCTTTTGTCTATGGCAATAATCTGATATATTTACACTGCAGGTGTTAATTCAGAAGAATAAGATATTGAGCATTCACACATAATTATTAACAGCCATGTTAAGTATTGGACACAAATCTATATATATTTTTTGCCTTATATTTCACCACACTGGATTTTAAAATTAAACTCGAAATGTATGCTAGTATACTGTAGCTTGTCAGCTGTTTCAAAGGGTATTTTCCTCCGAATCGAGCAAACCGCTTTCTCATTTGCCTGAAGCCTGGAGAAAATAGACCTCACAAGAGTTTCATCCCCGGTTAGTTATCGTGTTCAGTTCCTGCTTCTTCGCGAGGTATTTTTTGTTTTGTTTTCAGCAAGTAGAGAATACGTTGTCCATTGCATTATTTATTTTTTTATAATCTTTGGATCGTTTTGCCCTGGACTGTGACTTTCATGGAGCTTTGATGTATTTGGGCAGATGATATTGTTCATCAAGAAACACAAACCAGTGCCATACACCATGAGAGTACCACCGCCATGTTTCACAGAGAAGTTTATTGTTTGGATCATCAGGAGTTGCTTTCCTTTGTCTATACTTTTCCCTCCCCATCCCAGCGTCCCTCTCACGCAAGACTTTTGAATAATCATTTGACTAATCTCGTCTTACCTCTGGTGAAATCTTCTCTTGATATTATATAGTGACACACACTAGAAAGTATTCTGGATTTGTCCCGATCTGGGACTTAGTCTTTTGGGGCTGCGTTTTTCTTCTTTCCTTCTTTTTTTCTTATTAAGACTATTCCCAACAGTTCATCAGGACATACTTTGTCCTTGCGTTGATTTTGTTTGTTTTGGTTTTCAAGCTAGAAATGTCTTGATTTATATTGTAATATTATAGAATAAGAATATACCAACATTACCTGATTATGGTAATATTGGGATATTGTCCATATCCCAATACTGTGTTACCTGACTGTATTTTTGGTCTTTGCTTTTGGAGGAAATTACAATTAGTTAACTTAATCATAATAATTTCTTATCTGTACTTTAAATAATGTTCATAACATAGCAGTAAATGATTAATGCTGCAAGACATAGTTTTCTCTTTGTGAGGTAGGTAGGTGCCCATTATGTAAGTATTTTTTACAGATTTTATTTACCACAAGTATCCACTCGTGGTAAGATAAGTGCTGGGTATGCTGTGCCAACAAAAGCAACTTAAAACTATAATTAATCAGTGCAAGGGTCCTTCTCATCATTACGCTCTGATCCTGTAAAAGCCCACTTTTTTGCCTTTATTAGGAACCATTGTCTCTCTGCTGCCAGCATAGTGTTTGGCGTTCCCTGGCCTCCGGTACACCTAAGCCCACTAATCCCAGCTCAGGCCAGCTGCTTTGCCGTATCATCTTTACCTGTGGCCACTAGTGTACATTCATGATGCTTTAGGTGCTGCTCATGTCTGCTCACACAGACAGAGCCATTTCCTCCCACCTTCATTTGACCACATCTGTCACAAGTGGCTCATTTGTCCACTGTCATCCATAGTGCTATAAGGCTAATGATCCATTCACCGTATTCTTGCAGGCGGCTCAAGTGTTATCAATCAATATAAAGAAAGATGTTTCTCAGGAAACATGTTTGCACTTTTAAAAACAGCGCTCAATTTATATAATTTCCTCTTTTTATATTATTTGGGCTCTATAATATTACATCCAATTCTATCTTCAATAGAGAGCTGAACTCACATCTAAACATTTGGAGCAAGCGTTTCCCTCTTTTATAACTCTGGTTTTACACTAAAGAAGATGTCACATGAACATTGTAAGTGTTTTGACCTCTTGGAGGGCAAAGGCATGGTCACTCTGGGGGAGGAGGTCATCACAGGGGCACAGGGAGGTCTCTGAGAGACGCCCGGTGTGCCCTGAGTCTTTGTGTAAAGAGGTGAGAGTCACTTCTGTAATAACCTATGACTCAGATCTGCGCAGCATCAGAATCTGTGATCTTTTGAGATCTTGTCTTATTCAAATGCATCAACTTTACAATTTTTTTTGTTGTTTTTGTGTTTTTTTAATCAGGGGTTCTTTTCATCTCTTCTCTTCTAATTCCGAAGAGTCCTGATCACCCACCACCACTGAGTAATGTGTAAAGGGTACATAACATGTAGAGCCTACTTTATTTAGTGTTTCACCATGTTATAGTGGTTCCCCCTCGCACAATTTATGCATATCTATGTTACGTGTATCCTCATATACACGTGACGTCATTGCTCTCCCCTCAGTCCTCCAATTGCTGTCACCTAGTTCCACCCCCAAGTTAGAGTACTTACTTTGCCAATTTTGTGAGGCCATTATTGCTCAAACGAAAGAAACATCCCTGCATAGTAGCAATACAGGTTTTAAATTTATGTAAAAGTGTTTTTATAATTATAAAGGTCGTCTCTCTATAAATACTCACAAATTCGACCTTTCTTATTTCTTCGTGGTCAAGAAAATCATTGGTATAATATCCCCCTTCTCTCAACTAGAATTTGTTATATAAACGTAGTATTTAGCATTCAGCTGTCACTAGAAATCTTAGTATACAAATCAATGTAGTTCTGCCGGGTTAAAAAAAGATCTAATCTGACCCTTGTGGATTGTTTTGCTGGACTGAAGAAGCTACTGCCTGGATTATTCCGGAGGTGCGCAGGGATGTTGCTAGCAGAGATTAGTCGTGTAGTGAGCAAAGATCATTTGCCCCAAGAGGACCACACACTGTCAGTGTAGCCTTGCCACTATTGTCTCTAAGCCATTTGCAGTGGGGAAGCACCCGTCATTGTCTGCCAAATCCATCCAATCCTCCACAGTTTATCCAAGTTTCTCCTAAGAAAACCTGAACTCAGTCTTTTTGATTGGCACTTGTCAAGGCTGGAATGACGTGTCAAGAGAGAGTTCCATAAAGGGACCCTGAATAGGAAATCCCTTGCCCATGAATAATTATTTGGTGTGGATTTTCTCTTATATGCATTCTGCTTGATTCCTCTATTCATTGGGGAGATAGAGAAGTGAAGGCTCTGGGTGGTATCTGTGAATAGGCCTTGCTCTTGCATTGTGGTGTTGATGCTCATCCCTTTTTCAAACATGCAGAAAAAAACTGATAAGTCCAACCTTCTTGTTTCAGCCTGGTGCCCTGGATGCTGAAGGCTATTCTGTGTTTGGCCAGATTCTACATCTGTATTATATCTGATGGCCTCTTTGTAAATTGGTGTAGGGGTTTTACTTGGCTTCTCCAATCCAGCTATCGCTTGTGTTCAGGCACTGGGGTTGGTATGGAAACATGCTTTGTTTACAGCATGAAGTGACAAGTAATCATTGCACCAGAAGGTTGGGGGATGTGGACAAAGGACACTTCTTTCCCTTTTTTCCGTCTTCCTGGTTTGTTGTTGTTTTATTCACAAAGACAAAATATATACTCCTGAAAAAATATTCTGATTATTTTGAATGATAGGTGTCTCTGTTTGAGTGCAACGCCTTCAAAGACAACCTACAAATGAGACATCAAGCGCGCTGTGGCAACAAAATAAATGACACCATACATTTTTTTGTGTGAAATACCAACAAAAATATGGAAAACAATTGTGAAGTTAAAGCAAATAATTATGCATGATTTTTGTTTTCCCCTCTGAGCCCCAATACTTTCAAAGTTTCTCGACAATTGCCTTTTGAATAGTTCACTAGAGTGTTATCTAATCTCAGTACACTTACAGCTGTTCTGTGACCTCAGATGTTTTGTTAGAGAATATTGGTCACTAAACGGCAACGTGAAGTCCAAGAAACCCCCCGGAGCGGTCAGGGATGAAGTTGCACAAGTAGTGCTGTCAAACAATTAAAATATTTAGTCATTATCAATCACATTAATCTCATGGTTGACTCATGATTAATCGCTATTAAACGCACGTTGCCTGTTCTATATGTCCATTGATTTGGTTTGAAAAGACATTGGATGAAGCAAAAAGCTTATATTAAACCAATCCCGTCCAAAAAGAAATTTTTTGTTGTTGTTTATGTTTTCATATTCAGAAGTTTTTTTTTACAGTGTATATAACTTTCAGGCGCAGTGGAAATATCTTCAATGTTTGGGCTGTGACCTGGAGATAGTTGTGATTACTGAGAGTCGTCCAGTAATCTCCAGTGAGTTCCGAATAAAGCACATGCTAAAGGCGGCCAAAAAGATGTAATTTATATAAATATATCAACATTGGTAAATATCGTTATCGGCCAAAACAGCAATATTAACATATATTGAAAAGAGATGTAGGCCATTGGTGTTTCTGGTTGCAAGAAGACAATTGAAGAACACATCCACCATAGAAGATACTCTGGTCAGTTCAGATACACATATTTTTAGCTTGAGCTGTTTTGCAAAGAATAATGGGATAACTTTTCTGTCACAAGGCAAAAATGGATAACCCAAAATGCAGGGCTGCAAAAAATAAGTGATTTAATGACAACCTCGCTCCCATATCTGTGAGGAGTAAGGTCATCACAGATCACCCCCCTCCGTTTATAAAATAATTTGCATCCACACATAACCGAACTTCTTCGTTTTCAATCGCATTCATAACATTCCAAACATGTGCGTCTCTGACGTCCTGCGTTCGGAAAAAAAAAACAGAAGTGGGCGGAGCATTGATGGAGACGCCGGTACATCTATAGCAGCACTTATACAGTCACAGTAGAAACTCAGGGTGAAGACATATGTTTACGAGCACTGACCCCCGTCCTCAGCCGTGGTTTAATCCTGGTTTAGCTCCTGTTTTGGTTGTTTTCGAGCGTGAGTCCTCGTGATCACTTTGCTGCTCTCTGATGTGAAGCAAGGATGTTCGCAGCAGCAAACAGTTTTTAAGGCAGTAAGATCCATGCTTCTTCAGTGATCAGAGGTCGCATGTTCTACGTCATGGTGCTACGTCCCTTAGCGCACTTCGCTA